TAAGTTCACTGAAGAGGTGCGGCGAAGAAGGAACGAACTTGCTCAGAACAGCTTGGGTAAATGGAATCGTGCTTGAGCAATTCATTCTCCCTCAGATTATTCTGATTGTACCGAAATCGTCTACGAGGACAAAATGCGTGAAAGTACCTTTCATGAGGATTATTCATATATTTTCGTGTTCAAAATACTGGCAGTTTATTTGATGACTTATCCAGAATGCGAATGCCATGCCCAATTTGAGCAAATTCCGAAAATTTCGAAGCCTTATAGAAATTTCCGGGAATCGTCATTGGCTTTCATTGGAAGGATCTGCTTGATTGTCGATCGTAAGTTATGAGAATAAGCAAACGCCTAGAGATGTATGAGATGAGAGTAAAAAGCTATAAGGAGATCGGTTATTTATCGACTTAACGCATAGGTGCATTATTACAATCCTCTGCTGGATAAGAACAATTGTAAACAAACGAAATGCCGAAGGAAGTACTCACAGACGTTGTTTATCAACTTAAACATGATGTCGAGAACGAAATAGTGGAAAAAGGACGGCATGGGGGAATGGAGCACGCTAGACCGATCGATTCTCCAAGATCAGAACCACAAATCCGCAATTCTCAGCTGGGATTTTTAAATTTTTTGAAAGCGCATTTGAATTCATAAAGGCTCTTCAGTGGTTATAAATCAACTGTTAATCTTTTAGATGAATAATTACCCTCTCAAGATGGAACCTAAGCCTAACACTTCATAAAAGGGCACCAAGATTTAGCTGATCAAAAAGAGATTCGATCCGAAGATCTTCACATAGGAATGCAAGAGGAGCAGGTTTACATCGCAAAATCAATCACAGTCGCTTTCACGTTTAATTTTTTCTTGTTAGAATGTGGCCATTTGATACAGTAATTTTACTTGCAAAGGATAGTTTATCTATGGGAAAAATTTTAAAAAAGTTGTTGTGGTGAGTAGGATTTTTACCAGAGAATGAATGAAAAAACTCGGACTGCCTCGGACAACTCATGGCTTTCAACGACAACGTGAATTAAATGACAGTAGGAGTGAAAAGAAAATTGCATTTATTGTGAGCATACCTTTGCTCACACCAACGTATCGATTCAGGTAGGTGGGCAGTCGTCAGCCACGTTGGCTCGTGGCAACGAACGGATGAAGGGGATGGAGCCGAAGATGGCTATTAATTATTACTATAGAAACCTGGCACGGAACATTTGGTTCAGTCTTTCAAAGCATTTCACCTTGAAATCGATCAACCTGCTGCTAGGATATCATGAAACGTCAGGAAAGAAATACGGAAAGAGTAGCTGTCGGATTGAGGACCATCCGGCAAAATTACTGCCTTTACCTTCATTTGTTGTAATTCGAAAAAGAGCACTTCATTCGTCTATAGTATTGAAATGACTTGACCTGGACGGGCTTAGCGAGAACAAGGATCGCTACCAATTTCGCGGTCGGTGGATCGAAATCCGTCTATAGCCACCGAACAGTCTATAACCCGAAGTTGCTTCATCGCGGCCAGGTTTCTTCGTTGCAGAACCGATGGCTGAAAACATTTGTATAAACATCGGGTTTTCTTCATTGCAGAGGCAAAAACAAACACAGTCAAATGCGTTCACAATTCTGAAAAAAGTTAAATGCCTGGTTGACTCCAAGAAAGAGCTAATAACAGAGTCTCCGGCTTTTTTATGCTTGTCCCACATACTTTCAAGAATACCACGAGAACTTTCTCCTTGTAGTTTCCTTGGAGACCACCTCAGTTCAAATGACATTACTTCCAAGAATTCAAAAAAAGCAACCGTAACCTTTATCTACAGCTCCCACTGGAACATACCACAATCTTAAGCCTGATTGGAGTCTGAAGCTGTTTTCCTTACAAAGCCCCGTAGGCTCAAAATTGTTCTTGTGTTGGATGGCATTTTCTTGAGGGTCTCACTTTGAGAGAATCGCAGTGATTGAAAAGCTTGACAAGCTCGTTACACTAGTGAAAGCCTAGAAAATTCACCACTTCATGTCACAGCCGATCACAAAATCTAAATTTTCCTATCTCGTGATCTTAGCCGGCTTGAGTGAATGAGACCTGTCCATCCATTGCCACGTGACTTCGGAGGCTCAAGTTTGTGGGAAACACCTTATCTGTAGATGTGGCTGGCTTTTTTTTTTGAAGCCGTCTGGTCATCCCCGTTCTAGTTCTGATTCAAAAATGCTGTTTCCAGCAAAAAATTAGCTAGAAAGGGAGAATAATGTCTCCCTGAAAAACTAATTTTTCCGGCTCCTCTGCAGATTTGTGACAGTAAAGCAAATGTAAACTTGGAGTGATGAATTGGAACTGACTAATTTTGTCGCAGGGGCGAAAAACAACATGGTATCTTGACCAGTGAAATGCTTTTCTTCAAAAAATAATGGGAAAATGACATATACTGTGAGATTCATCTTCTAAGAAAAGGTTACAGACTTTTTTTTAAAGTAAGCCCTTCAACCTCTGCATGTGTAGGAGCCCAACTTACTTCTGGGAGCTGTGTGGAACACTTGCTGACATTCCCAGACGAAATTTATGCGATTCCGTCTGTTCAAAAGGTGGAAGAAAGTAGTCGGCGTTGACAGAGTTTCAGGACGGTGTAACGGAACCAATTTCCGTTTTTCAATTATTATTTATCAAGAGCTCCTTCAAAAGAAGTCCTTTTCAAGAAAAAAACCTTCATCTTCGTTCCCACGCACGGACAATAGACAGCGTTAAAAGCTGAGCTCGGTACACCACTTTAGAAAGAGGTTATCTACCGAAGCGATCGCCGACGTAAAGACGACGACTGTGCGAAGCCGGTAATCCCTTGAACTAAACTGTTTCGAAACCGGACAAGCAATGTTTCAAACCACAGTGTAGCCCTGCTCAAAGCTGGCCAAAGTGGTCTTTCCAAGAGTTCCCATGCCTCACTCTAACCCTCTCCAGTTAACGACATTACGGCCTCATAAGTCACCTTCGAAGATTGCTCGAATAGATAGGTTTTTACGGGTCGTCGCATTGTTTCGATTCTTTCGCAGCTGATTTTTGGAACTTGCAGCGACAGTTCTTGGGAAAGGAGCGAAATCCTTTCCTTATCGTCATGGAGTAGGTTTTTATGGTATACATTCATTCATGGGCTAGGACTTGTAGATTGCTTGAAGAGATTGGACACCAGAACCTGTCCGTTGGTCTTTTGAAGTGCGAAAGCAACTTCGCTGGCTTGACATCTGTCCAATACGCACCTTTTCTCCTCAACAACCATATGAAGTCCATACCTCCAATTCTACTGAAACCATCCCAAATTGGAACTTGTTTCGAATTTTGCTTTGGTCATTGTACTTTCTGACATATTACTTGCTCTGCTCAACGTGGTCCTCTCTTGCTCATTAGCACTCGCATCCGATGAGAGTCAGATTACGAGAGAGTTGGGTGCGGACACAGGGGAACTCCACCTTTCCAGCCAGTTTTACTTTCATTAGAGACTTACAAGCCTGTAGTCCAGGCCACCAACTCGCGCGGCTTTTCTGACACTCTTTGTTGCTCCTCTTGCATTCATGTAGTGGTGGGCCCCACCTATTGAGTTATCTGCAGACTGATTTCCCATCCAACCAGCCCATCCTGTGATAACTACAAACCTCGGACGAACTTCTCAGCACCGAACTAAAAGTCACTCGATGTTCCTTGCACTTCTTTTTCCATTATTACTTTTCTTCATTTATCCTCGCATCATCAAGATCTTCTCTGAAGCCTTCCAACCTCACAGGATCCTCCAGATTAAAGTCAGCTCCTCTAGCGATCTCTGCACCGTTCTGCCAGACATCCGCTTTCTTCCCTTGATGTCGTGATTCTCTTTCGCCCTGTTTCTCTTTCTTTTTTTCAATGCGTATTAAATTGAATGGTCGACTGTCTTCCACTTGTTGGTGCTAAAGAATTTCGAGCTGCGGGGGAGCCTCAAGCAGAAAAGCATGATATTTACAGTTTGAAAATCTGTGGCAGTGGCCGGGTAAAGAACGATTTGGATCATACACAGTTGATCCGAGATTTTTCATATATCACCAGAGCTTCTGGGAATATTTTCCGTGATCCTTCTCCCTCTTGTTGAGTTAAGAGCACACAATGGACACGAGCAACCTGTAGATCTCATACTTTGGGTGGAAACAAGCATAGGACCGTTTGTTCCTCACACTCCTCATGTTCAGTGTGGGCACCGCTATCGAGGGAGCGTGTCCATAGGCATCAAGGGGAAGGGGGGAAATGGTAGAATAGGCTCAACGACAAACACGATCACTACGCTGAATTCGTTCCTCGACACTACTCATGGTCGTTTTGCTAGCCAGTGGTTATAAAGCTGGTCCATGTGCCTTGGACATTTCTTCCAATTTACGTAGTCACGTGCATTTAGTCTTTTTTGTGAAACTAAAATCAAGATCTGGCTCAGATACGGCCTCGCGATGGGAAAAAGGGGTCAGGTCCAGATGGTCTGCGCGAAAGTTCGAAAAAAAAGAATGCATTTCGATTGAAAAAAAACTCCGCCATTGGTGTTGCTTGCAATCCGAATGTTCACATCGATCGAGAAAAACAATTGGGCCTTTTAAGGACTGATGCACTGATGATCGGTAGAGTTTTCTGGTGCATCCTAGCGATCCTTTCTATTATGTCATTTCAGCTGAACTAGCAGGCTCTCCAAATTCAAGGTACCTTGGTAGCCTCGGAAAGAATTTTGAATAACTCATGGGCTCATGCGAGTTAGAAAAGTCTGACCAAGGGAATGACAGGCGACAAGCGTAGTTCCTCATAAAAAAACGGTGCAGCAAAGTATGATCGCAGATTCCATGAAAGTTGGGGCCTGATGCACTAAATACCCGATGACGCGCAGCAGACACGTGACGCGGTCACGTACTCAGAATATCTACCAGTTTCTCCAAAATGAGCTATCGATTCAACAAACGCAACCGCTTAAGCACTAAACAGCAACAATTATTTACAGTGCTTCAGGATGCCATTGAGCGACGATCAACGAGCTGCCATAGAACGGGTACGTCTACAGGCCGGTGGGAAAGGTCATCCATACTGCGAACACGATTACAATGTCCACCGATGGCTGACTGCCTACGAGGGAAACGAAGAGGAAGCAGCAAAAGTGAGCGACAGCAGTGTTTGTCTGAGAAAAAAGGAACTGTCTCATATATCTGTCATTTCTCTCCCTAGAGTAAATCTAGGCCAAATGCGATCAAAAAAGAAATTACCAAGAAAACATCTTCAGGTCCTCAGAAGACATCTCAATATTCGTGAAGTTATGTCGCTAACATCTTTGCCGAACGCCAAAGGTGAAGATATTGATGAGGAAGCGGAAAAATACGCTCCGCTAACAATACTTGGACGAAATCGACTCAATGATAATAAGGTAAATTTGAGAGATGATCTGATCATCCATACTGTCGAAGAACGTGTATGGGGCGGTCACACAAACTTAACTTGATTACACCCTTTCAAGCTATTTCTTTTCTTGGTGTAGTTGAAGTATTCCGCTGGTAGGAGAGGCGAAACGTGGGCTTTTTACGTACATCACCCCATGAACCCAGCCCATTCGCAAATCACGCCTCTTGAGCTGTATGAAACACCAGCGGCCACACTCATGTGGTTACTAGCTTTTATTTAAAGTTAGTAACCACATGAGTGTGTTCTAACAGGAAGTTTTCAGTACATTACGCTTTTCTTCGCACATGAACCTTCAAACAGGAGGTAGGCAAGGGGCATTACATGCTTTGGAAAGGAAGTAACCCATCTCAATCGTTGGGAAGTGTGAGAATTGATTTCGTTGAAGCAAGAAAAAAACATAACCTATTGATTGATAAAGGTATAATGTAACCCACAACCCAGATGAGTTGTTCCTATTACTGCCAAGCAAGACGAGCTTAATAGTCAGTTACCTAAGGTTAATTAGGTACTTAACTAACATAAATATTACCTTTGAAAAATCAGAAGGTTCACCCTCAAGTCCTTCATTCAGATTCTACTCTTTGAACATAGTGGCAAAATCGATCTGAATGGAGTAGTCGATAATATAAGGGTGAGTTATGCTTGACAATTTCTACGGCACCTCAGGATAGGGAGATAGCAAAACTTTTTAACTGAAGGGCGTTACGTCGAAGCACCATTTCGTACGCATCCTTCCCACTACCACTTTCCTAATCGTATCCCAGGACTAACCAGTAATTACTCTCCTTTTTTACTCTCTTCTACTTCCACGTACTACAGTCGTCTACTAAAAAGCTCCCTCTTATAAGTAGGAAGCTGATCTATGCTCATCAAGTACTATGATCCCTCCTCAATGCATTCCTTTGGAAGCAAATTTAACCACATGTATCGAATAAGTCCCCAAACAGGTCTGCCCACAGCGTGGTAACGCGATGTTTGACATTGAAAGGGATATCTGTAGCGGAGATCACTGTTCATAGTTTTTTTTTTCGAAAGTGGTAGCCTGGAGAAAGATATCCTTCTCTCCTCAGAGACTAGATCGAGTGTCTGGAAAAACTTCGGAAAATTTCTTCGAGCGAGCAAAACGAAGTGGTTTCTCCAGTTCTCGCGCTAGCCGTTGGGAACGGAACGTCATAGTTGGAAAACTCATGTGAAACATCTGCGATTTCAAAGCAAAGATGACAGACGTTTCTGTAATCCTTGCTTTGAATTTTCAAAGAATCGCTGGCGTTTCCTTATAAGGCTATAACTGCAACTTTCTAGACGAAAGAAATTTGCGCCGGCCTGGAGCAGGGTATCTGAAATGGGCAGAGTTTGTAAGAGCATTTCTCAGTACTTATTCCCAAAATCACCCAGATAAGATGTCTGAGGTTGCGTTTGAAGAAGCAGAGGAAGGGATCTGCAAAGCTGGGAAATTCAAAACAAGGTAAAAACTCCCCGACCCTGAGATCTGTTTGTTGGCCTTATACAGAGAGACGTGATCAAGGACGTGTTACATGTAAAAAGGCATGACATGACTCATTCAATTCTGGAATTTCTCCCAGACAGCTGCCATCGAAAATCGCGTGACTGGGCTATAAATCATGCGATGAAATCAAAAATCCTGCAGGGTGGGATCGTGATGGAAAGTGCTTTAATCTGATTAATTTAAATGCTGGGATGTTGTCCATTCCCAAGTGGCAGGGAGACCTCCACAACTGGAAAAACCTGACCGTAATAATTGGACCAACACACAGGTGCTAGTGATCCCTTTCGAAATACGTTGAATAAAGGAACGACTTATCCTGTGATGGTTCAACTCTCCGATGACGATAGGATACCTCGAACATATTGAAAAAGTCCTCGACATTCGGAAGCCCCTATTAGAATATATGTGAATTTTGCAATCCTACCAGTCCTTGCTTAAGACCGTACGAGGTGCCTAAGTTGCCTTTAACACCTCGCACGGGATTGTCTCTTACAAAATAAAAACCCAAATAAAAACAAGAGCTTTCTTAGCAACCGTCGCTTCCGAGATTCCCTACTTTCGAAGATGAATGGATGATAAACATAGGTCAACAAAAATCATTGTAAGGAAAATAGTGAAATAGAAGGGCTGAATGTGTAGCAAAGTGAAAATGAACTCTCAAATTCAGATTACCAAATTCCTACGCATGAAATTCCGTACGATGGAACGTCTGCAGCAACGTGTTGAACAAGAAGAACGTCGTCAGGATCAGCAAAGTGGTGGCGTTCTGATCATGGACCTCGACGGACTTTCATTCAGCACCAACCTTTTGTCAGTACTAGCAGGTATGCTACCTTTAAACGTTTCTCTAACTCCCAAAACGGACCAAGCTTCACCACCATTAGTTTATTCAAAGGCAGCAAAACCAGAACCGAGTACTCGAGCACTTACATCAAAACTAAGGGACCATTGATTACTTCGCTTTAATAGACTACCTTTTCTCAATATGTTGGCCACTTAAGAATTCTGGAGTCCAAAACATGTCATTGATTAACTGTTTTTGAGAGCAAAAAAAAAGAATCATCTTTCGTATTGACAAAATATCGTGATGAGAATGCAGCACTGCTGGTGGAAATCGGAAGAAAATCAAAAAATATGACAAAGAGTGATTGTAAACTGAAAGCATTGCTTGTGTTCAAGCTGAAAATCGACGGCAATCTAAGTTTTCGAATTTTACTAGGGTTCTTGTTCGGTTTTAGGCAACCTTCGTCAACGTTAAAAAATAGCAAATTTTCTAAATCAATCGCCTTTCGCCATTTCATCACTAAAGTTAAGATGTATAAAGTCGGACACTTTGACATTAGCAAAGCGGCGTGGTTTGGGAGTGGGTGTGGTTTATCTTGACAGAGAAAAAAATCCCAGCAGGCTATCAGTTCAGAGGTGCTGAGTTCTGAAGAAATTCATTTTCTTCCAGGACCGTACCGAATACTGTGGGGAACGTTATTCGAACAATATCCACAACTCATACAGCAAATAATAATCATTAACGCTCCGAAATTCGTCAATCTTCTCTACCAAACGTGCATTCCTTTTATACCACAGGATTACCGGGTACGTTTACGTCTTTTTACCATTTCAAACTAGTTTTAGCCAAACTTCAATAATTAGACTTGGATAGAATAGAGGCCAACCAAACAATACTTTGGGAAGTATAGGAAATTTGCATAACTTAATTTACATGTGTCCCATTGGTGAACGTAATGGCGATGCCATATCGCTTCAACTGCACCACCTCCCATTTCTCAGGTGAGACGCTATACATAGTAGCAGTTCAGAGAACTCATCTTCACTGACCTGAGGTGCAGAAGGTGTCATTTGAGGAATGGGAGCAGACGCGGTTAAAATGCTAGCAAACCGGACATTGCATCCAACTAAGGGTGCCTTTACGCACCTAGCCAAGGCTGGCACCCTCAGACCTCAGAAAACTTAATTGAATCTCGTGCAGGACTACAAAAGCGCTGACTCGCTCGCATGTATTCCTAATTGCTCTTCACTGTAAACGGAGTAGGGTTTCGTCCCTAGAGGGCTAGATTAGTTTAACATTAACCGTGGATCGATTGGCGTTCAAACCAAATTTTACTCTATGGAAAGATGGGTTTAAAAGCTACGTAAGAAGCAATCTATAAAACCCTCGCCAAAAAACTGCTTCTATAAATCACTGAATAGACCGACATTCAATTGATGTGCAATCCGATTCCAGAAAAAAATTATCATCTGTAGCAACGATGTAAAGTCTACATTACTGGAACATATTGACGAATGCTGCTTACCAATGGAACTTGGCGGAAATTGTGAAATGACGTCATCAGGAGAATTCGAAATCTTCACCCCGATTACGGTAATTACCGCTATTTTACCCACTAAGGTGACAAGTACTACTAACACAACGTTAACTTTCGCCGACAAATTTAGGAATTTTTTTACTATAAAAATAGTTGAATCAAAAACTATCTATATCGCGTATTTTCAGCCACCACTCCATCCCTACCCCAAGGCTTCACCCATACAAGTGCCAATGGAACAACTTACTATACCAGCCGGTAAGTTTTACTCACGATTGGACCTAAACAGGGCCTTATTCAGTTTACTTGAATAAATAAACCAATCGCATACCCAAAGATGGTTGAGAACATGAAATCGGCGAAACAAGCACGCAGCTACCTTAAACCGATGAGTATATTACAATCAAACTAACCGCTTTAGGGACCGCCTGCCTAATTTACAAAATGGCAAGAAGCGCAGGGCATTTCTAATGCGTAAACTTTGAAAAAGTCTCCCGTTTTGAAGGTTCATTTACTACACAAAAATTCAAATGGAATGCCGGAAATCAGCTGGAATTCTTTATGCAACATGACCAGGAATTCACTTTATTCTTCTTTCATGCCCGAGACGACACCGTGAGTTCGAATACTTCTAAACCTTAACGAATAGAATCCCAATTTCTCAGTTAGAGTAGTGAGGTATTCAGGATGACACCAATGCATGGCGTGAAATCTATGCTGGTTGTGAGCGTCCAGCATTACCACAAGTTGACACATGGCGATGGACGGTGCCACATGATGGGTAAGCGAAAACACGTGTAGCAAGTCTTCAAAGTAGTAGCTTTCAATTAGATAAAAATACTTTCTCAACTTCAATTTGAGAGTGTAGCTGTATGTGAGGGCATAAATGGTCTCTAACATGAACATGATTTTTGGGACCCAGCTAGCTTGAACTCAGTATTTCTAGCCACCATTAAGATCTGTAAACTCCGGCTAATGGAGGGCATGGTTGGGATATGGATTTCATACCAAGTCACGTGGGTAGGGGAGCCTTGTACGGCACCTTAGCTACGCTCCATCACTTTCACCATTCTCCATAACTTTATGTAAAGTGAGGCTACTCAGCGCTAAGAGATGTCTTATAGTTAGAAAGATGGTCATATTTGCCAGATTAAAACAAAATACAAACAAAAAAAGTCATTTGCCGCCCAAGACATGATGTACAACGAACTCCGAATTTTGAGGTTCTGGGTATTTTCAAGATGATACCAAAAAGATGGTCTTCTTAACAATATGCTAATCGAGCAACGCAGTTCTAAGGATATTTCCACATTTCAAAAAAAAAAATCATTTTACATAACATCCATCAATGCGGATTCAGCAAACTGACTCACCTCTACTCACTCAGCAATTAACGAAATCGCCACGACGGGAGCTAGAAAAGCGAAAATGACGGAGTCATTCTTGGCATTACAGAACCTACTGGCCGTACCTAAATTCTACTCACCTTGAGATGTAAAAGAGACAATGAACATGATATTTATCGCTTTGCGTATACAGTACGATATATGTAAGTACAATGGTGGAATGCACAAATCTTATGAAGTAGAAAAGCAGATCTATTTAGATTTAGACTTTAGAATGGTTTATCCAAAAGCACTTTGGAAAGACCTCGTAGACCATGTTAAACTAGGCTACAGCCAATGGAGCAACAAGAACTGTTCAAAAGAGCAAGCAAAAAAAGCATGTAGCCCAACATAACGTTCTTTTTTTAGATACTACTACATACGATACGGTAATGAAAAAGCTTGGCTATTCTCTGTCACAGTTCGTCACCTTATTTATCAACTAGATGGAAGCGAAAAGAAGATTGTCACTCCGATTACAACGTTCAATAATTGAAGTCATTTAATAAATCACCAATTATACATAGGATAAATATTTTCATCACAGTATTTGAACACACAAAGCTGCACATATAGCTCACCAACTTTTTTCAAATACAAAAAGAAAAGATGTTAGCGGTCATGCAATAGATGTTAATCACCTGAAGACTTTCACAGCAGTATCACAGTTCCTTTTTGCTTTCTCCAGAAGCTTCGACTGCTTCGCGATTATCACAACCACAGTCTTCTAAAACGAATACAGCGTATTAAATTCGAGGGAAAGATAAAAGTCATGGGATTAAAACTACAAGACGGATAGGATTTACAAAAAAAAAACTGTCCAACCAACCTTTTCCTTTCACATCCGATTGGTTTTCTGCTGTGGGGGGAGGTCTAGCTGGACAAGTTGGATAAAGAATAGAATCCACAAATGTCACCCATCGTTCTGGCAGNAATCTGTAAAGAACTAACGTGACTTTTGTAAACAGAGCGAAAGAGAGCGAAAGAGCAAGAATTCATGCTGTTTTGGAGAGTTAGCAGGCAATTTCATAATACTGAGCAAGTCTGAGAATTAGGCTTGAACCAGAGAAAAAGAGGTTCTCAACAGTTAGCCATCAGCCTATAAATGAAACACCGCAACATGTTCTTTACAAATTATTCACTCATTCGAACTTTTCACCAACAATAACCGATAGGGGACAATTCGTTTATTCTCCATGCTAGAAATTAGAGAACCCTATTCTGTATTTCGAGAGACAATCATATGCTGGCTTCCTCCTTGCTATCATTAATCTTATTAAAATTCTTAAGGCCGCCTATAGAGAAAAACTGCGACTTTTTGCGGCCTGTGCTGTTGGTTTTGCGTGAAAAAAAGCAGCGCCGTGGAGTCAACATCATTGCACGTTCCCCCAATCTAAGAAGAATCGCAGTATCAAATCTTATAGAAGGTCAGCTGCTTCATAATTAGTCAGGACTGGCATATTTCCTCACAAAAAACAATCATTGCTGCCCGCAGCTGCGCTTAAAAAAGTACACAAATAAATTATTGGAGAAATCGAGAAAAGAGCGCATAATCTTGCGTTGGCTCTAACCTCTAGTTTTTTTGTCAAAGCTTTGGAGACAGATTCGAATAAGGACAAACTCGATCACTATCTGACGCAACCATATGCGTATCTCAACAAAATCATATGTGGATTTCAAAAACAACCTTTCCCAATTATTACTTCACTCATACTGAAATCGACGCCCGACGGACCGTAGTAATATAGGGTCCAAGCCAAAGTTACCCATCTTCTAGGTCACATTTACGTAGACCTCACTCGTGGACTGAAGGATTTCACTCCCTATGTGGTCTTCACATTCTTTACTTTTATGTCTACTACTTTTTAATTTCTACAACTAGAAAATAGCCTGCAGACTAACCAACAATCAACCCACCCAGCTCTAAGTTGATGCTTCCCCCACGCCAGAACCATTTAAGTAAAACACTTAGAATATAATTTGGTTGTGAAGACGCACTCGCCTCAAACCGACTCAACGATTCAAAATCAAAATAGTCATAGAAAGAAAGCAGCTTGAAGGATCTTATTCATCGTTGAAATTCAAAAAAAAAACTCGATGACTAAGACCAACACAAGCAAAGAAAATTATAGCTACCAAGAGCTTACCTGAAAACGAATGGTTGGATGAATTTAAGATAGATAGCGAGCAGAATTGGTAGAAATATACAAGGAATACAGACCATTGTGTGATCCAACTATCCAACCTAAAAACATTCCAAACTCACACCGGATTCCCTAATGGTTGAGTCAATTGTTACAGGATACGAAAGACAAAAGTACAACGACAAAATAGAGAGGGATCAAAATAGGAGAACATTAAGAAATAGGAAAAGAAAAATTAATTGGAGCAGGGGAGACATTAAAGGTGCAAAATTGCGAACAGCGCGCTATTTGGGAACAGAGCACGTTTTGTTGCCTTTGCAGCGGTATGGAAGGAGACATAATCTCCCTTGTGGATTTCTTGAGGAAATGCCCAAAGCCGAATTGGCTTTATATACCCATAAAACCGCTCACAAGTGCTCACATGGTGGCCAACAAATAGAATCACGTTTTCTCAAGCCTGGACTATACCGTTTTCCGGCGAATTTTATCATTCCTTGGAAGGTAGTTCAGGAAAAAAAGAAAAGAAACAGGTGGAGAGGTAGGAAAAGAAAGAAATAGGAAACAGGAGAGAAAATGTATGAAGAACGAAAAAGTTATTTTAGGTTAAACAGTGGTGTTTCCACTATCTCTTTGACTTGGACGGTAATGGGGTAATGGAAGAACATGAAAGTGTTGGCTTTTTTTCCAGCAGAATTTTGGGTGACCAAGTCTTTTACTGCTATGATGCAGCCGCCACTGTATGCGCCATGCACTTGACAAACACCTTGGATTGTCAAATTTTTTTTGAAAATGTGCATATCATCTCAAAAGTAACGATTATTGAACTTCAACTAATGAAAATAGACCAAATTTGGTGAGAAATAAAAAAAGGTAGGAGGTTATCTGCTGTTTTCTCTTAATAAATCACTAGCCGATGTTTAATTACCGACATTAGTATCAGGATGATTATCGCGTCCATAAAACTCCAGCAGAAGCATATAAGACCTCGGAATCGATCTCGCAAGCAAGTTGTGGCAAGTTCCATGGGAACCATTTATCCTCTCCACCACCTTCGCCTATTCTGTTTCTTGGAGGATTCTAGAACGTGGTTACATTTGAAGATCAATTGGATCAGGCGGAACGGGGTGACAGTGGCCGCCACATTACAGCGAGCGATAAAGTTGGCTCTGACTGGCTCCCATCAGTCACCGCTGGTGTTCCACCAGGTCTTGCTCATCATTTGTCGCATTTTATGACTTTATCTCTCTTTCAACCACAACATTTTATGAATGTTCTCAAATCACGGACGGGATTCCATCCAACCAGTCGCTCAGTACAACCTGAAGCACTCACAAAACCCAGCTAGCTTATAGAAAGTGGCAGAAACGGGGCCGTGGAGAAGGGGAGTATCTAACTCACGAAACTGGATGTCTCCTCAAATCCCACGCGATCGAATCCCAAGATTTTCATGAAATAACATCCGGTGTTGTCCGAAACTCTTTCGTAATGGGATTACGATTAAGTAACCAGCTGGTTGAGCCCAATAGGTCAGTTTCTTAAAAAGACTGTCTTTGGTGTCATAGGTTTCATTATGGGTCAATCGCAGCTCAGAAAAGAAACAGCGGCAGAAAGGATCTATGAACAATTTGGGTATGAGGCCAGTTTAGAATGCTCCATGTACTCTCACTTAGACAGATCGCGACTCTCGACCATGCGCTCCCCGGCTAGTCAATGCTTAAGACAATTATTCTATTCTGTGGTACTCTACACAAGATTGCAGAGGGTGGACACTTTGGTTGGCTGCTTTTCTATCAGAAATTTGATTGTCGACCTAAGATCTCGTTGGTGGTCCTACTTGCCATTACACTACCTTCGCCTGTTTAGAGCATACTTCAATCAGTGGGACTCTGAGATCAGCTGGAATCTTGACGAATGGCGCTTTTACTGCACTCATTTTTTTCGATCCCCACGCAAGCGGTGTTTTTCTTTCCTCAGCGATGGATTTGTTGGATTTCTTTCTCAAGATTAAACTCGCCTGGGTGGATAGAAACACTAACATTGACATCAGCTGTCCCCGCAAATCAATGTTTAAGCCAAGCATGCTACTAAATATTCTTTCTTCTATAACTGCCCATATAATTGATTACACTTTCAATTTATGAGAAATTTTTTCAGAAATCTATTAGAAAATCCATTAAACTATTTTGATACAATATTTAGTCGATTCAGAATATTTCCTTTATTCGGAGCCCCTTTACAGTTCTGAGCTGGGGCCCAATGCATGGCGCATCTTGATGAGCGGTTCTGAGGTGAAGTCGCATTTGCAAGCTTCGCAAATAAGCCTTCCTGGAAAAATCCAACGTCTCCAGTCGGTTGTCCACTTTGGAAGGGTGCTTATGGTAAAAGCTTCACTTATGGTAGCGTGGTATACTTGCCATTGAGGATTAATACAAGAGTTCCATTTAACTGTAAACCCTATACGATTCGTTGTAAAAGTCACATGCGGGATGCATCACAATTGGATTCACAAATACATCTGTGTATTTTCCCGAAGTTGTTTATTTGTTGAGGAGGGCTCTACGGAACGATGAAGAATAGATACTGCCTGCAGATCGAATGAGGGCGGGTTCACAGGTGTGAAGCACTCGTTCACGAGGATGACAATAGTCTGGTTTCCAACATTCAATCGCAGCTTGGATATACTTCCGACTCTTCTTATCTCTACCCAAATCAAAAAGAGTCCAAGCATATGTTTCTCCCATTAAGCCCTTCTATGGACTTGCACTTCATTATCACAGTTGAGAACTTTTCCCAATGCATGGCGTAATCTCTAGAAGTTGTACAAAAGTTTTTTGCTTCTCTGATACTGTGATTTGCCTGATATATTTGAAATATATTCTAATCGTAAAGGTACTGTAAGGTCTCTGCCAGGAATGAGCCATGCACTCAGAATCAGCCAGAATTCTCATAATTAGTCAGACCTATTCATTTGCACCATATCTACCCACAGCTACGGCATATGATGCCCGGCTTCCTGGCGCTCAGAATATGAGACGACATGACTATTACGGAAATGAAACTGGTGCTATTTACTCACGGTTGACTGGGACCAGTCGGGCATTCCCGAGATTTCGCTTTTGTTCGACTTGACGCGATTCGAATTCGATGATTCGGGATGGCTTTGTTGACGGCTGTGACAGCGATTTGGGTCGGCGAACGGTTCATTGGACTACGGCGCGATCATCTACTCTTTGCTATTCTCCATCCTCTCATTCTCTCTCCCTTTCGCATTCATTCAGATCTATTTATGACTTTCTGAAATGTGATCCGAGACTCGAGCGATTACATGCCGTTTTGATCTGATATCTGTCAACAACAACCTGCACTCTAACACCAACTGACACCTTTCCTTCTCCCACTGATAACTGCGATTCTACTATCAACACTACTTAAGAGCTAATCCTCACACCTTTATGCTTTGCACTTCTATCTAAAACGTTCTTCCTCATTCCTTCTTTATTTTGCATTCTCACCACTCTTATCAGTTGAATTCTACTGCTTCGATGGCAGTTTTTGAAAACTTCTTACCCTTCCAAGCGACATCATCTTTTAAACTATTGTTTTCCTTTATCAATCTCTCTTTCGGTGAGAGCTTAGAATAAGTGACCAGTAACATTTGGGTCCAAGGTGACTGTATCCCCTAACTACAAAAGTTTTACCTACAGTTGAGCTACTAATATGCCAGGGACGAAAGTCTCGATCCATCCACATTTTCGACGTTGACGTTGTCGTGACGTGACGTTTCTTAGCTAGTTGTCTCGCCGCGTGCGACGTTCAGTTGAATGACTAGTTCATTTGTTTGACCACATGGTATGCTGCTCACAACTGCCGTCCGTCACCCGTCTCTCGGGCCCGAAATTCTCAACTGAAAAATTCTCCCCCTCGGTCGGACTCGAAATCAAAGGGATTTACTAGAACGTGAAAAAGTAATTGGTGTATGATACTGTCTTCTTCTTCTTGATGCGCCATGCGCTTGTGCTCTGCTCAAAATTGAAGGGACATTTGAATTCTTTTGTCGTCTATGTGGTGATTCGTGAAGGCAAACAATGTTCCACCACTAATTATGTTTCTTACAATGACCTGACAAACAATAGAGCGAACAAGTGATGGAAGGTTTGTTTAGCTTGGAGTGGAATTACTCGAGACTTTCATAATGGCAGCGGCTGCTCATCACATATGTACCTACACTTGTTATTATTACAAACTTTCGTTGATTGGACCTAACTGCTGCTCCATTATCCTATGAGTTGAAAACCTTCCTGCAGCACTTGTTTATTTGGCTACTGTGGCATTCAAGGTCAAGTGTCAAATAAATTTTTGAAAAAATTCTAAGGAGTGAACTTCTGAAATCATTTTCCCAAATTCATTACATGACATGGAATTGTTGATATAAATATTCACCTAAGTATCTACTTCCGAATTCGCGAATAACTTTTTCTATATGTCATGAGGTTTATTCGTTTAGGTCATTTGCCTCGAAGTTTCCATCACATTTCAGACCCTACGCTCGACAAAATTCCATTGCCCCCCNCCCCCCCCCCCCCCCCCCACCCCCTCCACTGTCGCTTATTCCTTCAAGACCCAACCTTTTTATGCTCTCCTTGCTCCTGTGGTCTAACTTTTGAAAAAAAGTGACATTATTGAAGACAAATAAAGCTGATTATTTAGATGGATATCTTCCAGAGATTGCGGAGAGGGAAGAAATGACCTAGAAAACCCAAGACCATTAATTTCGGCGGTTAGTAAATAGTGCTTCAAGTGCAAAAAAATGCAGCGAGCCGCTTCAACCATTCATAAAAAGTGTAAAGTTCATAGTCCATTTCTCGGTAGTACTGCTGTCAACCATGATCAGCATTATGCGCTCCTCAATGCATACCAAATACACCACTCATTTGCCTTCTTATTAACCCCTCTCCAACTTTATTCGCTGCACCACAATTTATGAATTCTGATCCCCTGGGAAATAGTTGTTTCAATCGTTTTGATATGGTTCTACAACACCCGTAAACGGTCATGTCGTTCACTGGGTTACTACAATTAA